GAGAGAGAGAGAGAGAGAGAGAGAGAGAGAGAGAGAGAGAGAGAGAGAGAGAGACTGATCAGTAGCAGAGGCTGCTGTTAGCATTTCAGACAGACAGATGCTGCGACACAAACGAACACAAGCCTGGCTGATACAGAAACACGAATGCTTCGACGCCTAAAAACACCTCCACGTAGGTATGCTTCATGCAAGCGAGGAGACATGTTCGGCTTTTACAATTCGCCATGGATCGGTTCATTGGAGGAGTGACGGTTTGAAAAGCAGGACCAGTTAAAGAAAAGTCTTTGTTGTCGTTGGCTTGGCCACCAAAAAGGAGCGACTATGGCACAGTTTGGCTCCAGCTGCTGTCATTTGCTTTGTGCAACACTCGACTAGTGTTGCGCGAACTGAAAATACACTCAGACCAGATGTCAGAACAACTGTGACAGCAGCGTGAACAGCGCCTGTCCAACTGGCATCCCTGAACCTCGTGCTGTAGAGCGAGGTTCACAAAAGAGAAAGCTCCAACTGTATTTTATATGCTCTCTCTCAGATTTAGAGGATGGGAGGTTGAGTTTGTAAGTTTTCTACCGCTTATCTCTCAAACAATGTTTTATCTTTATCATCAGTTATCAGCTGCTGCTGCTCTTCCCAGACGACCACATCCAGAATCAGATGACTCAATCACTGCTGCTGCTTACTATTGTCACTTACTATAAAACACGCCAACCCCCCTGACCCACTTTCACCATCATAAAATATGAATCGTCTGTCTGTGCGCGTCCATACACAGCACACACACACACCTGCTTTTAGTGAGGAGATGGAAGACAGACAGACTGTGCCTTCCAACAGTTAAAACAGCTCAAACGACAGAGTGTAAAGAACCATTGAACCACTTTCCAGCCGGGATGCAAATCACAAAGCTTTATCGATTATTTTAAATGCAAGAAATGCACGTAAAAAAGAGCCCCTCAAAATTAAATGCTTTCCAAATGTATGTGAATTCTCTAAAGACGTGAATTCAAAGTTAGCTTCAAGGCATTGTCGTTCTTTTTCAAGTCCCTCAGTGCACAAAACATCTTCATGTCTTCAATATGACACAGATAATGATCAAACAGGATTACAATCTCTCTAATTGAAATCACTGAATCTGTCCAGTAAAGAGGAGAGTGTGAGGAAGTGAGAGTAGAAAGAAGCCTCCAAATTCACTGAACCTTGTTGGGTTATAAATCTGTTAATAAGAGTGTTTCCCTCACTGTATTTACAATATCAATGAAATCAACACACGGTTGGTGGTCCAAGCTGTAATGGTCTTTCTCTATACATGGATGGAAACGGAGCGTGATTGGGTGGCCTCCTCTCACTCTCTCTTGGACCATTCAATGGCTTGTCACTGCCCTTTTGAGTTTTGGCAACAGATGGGCCAACGGTCTCTGTCACCTGACTCTGTCGGTCTTTGAACTGCTCTCTTGTATTCACTGTGGGCCACAGACACGTACAGACGCTAACATCTGAACACAATCAACAAAAAAAAAAGCAGCAAATACAGCATTTACTTTCTGGCTGTGCTGCTATTTGCTTAGAGGCGGAGACAAAGACGTGCGACTAAACGACTTCAGTTGGATGATTTACATTTCATTAAATTTGTTTCTCGAGAGCTGAGAATCACTGAAACGCTCAGCTGCAGCACACACACACACACACACACAGGCCATTCAAATCCACAGATCCAACAACTAGCTAGTCAAGAAGCATAAACTATTAGTCTAATCCTGGGATCAGGGCCACGGCTGTGACCGTGAGGTTCATTAATAGCTTCTCGTGTTCAAAGGAACATGATTAGCTTGTTTCAGCTTTTCAGTCTACACAGTTTCAGTCTCCACAGTGTGACTCATAAGACTAGTTTTCACGTTACTGGTGTGCACTGAGCGTGCGACAAAGCTGACCTGAAATCACGAGGATGTTATTAAGGGTTTCTTTTGCCAGTTATGTCACGATATAACATACCAGCTATTCTACATATCAACATGAAATCACGTAACAGGCAAAAGACTTGGAATGCAACAGTTTTCACAATGTGCTCTGTAATTCTGCAAGACACACCTGGAAGTCTAATGAGGTCTTTGCTCAGAATGGATTTTTTTCACAAGACACTCATTTAAATAATGGGAGGCCTCGACTCCCAAAAGTCATGCAATAACTCGTAAATTCCCCAAAGTCAGAAAGTGAGTTAAGCATGGGGCAAGGTGATATTTCATTCCTTGCACTACACACCCTGTCTCCGTTTAGACAGCAGCATTCCTCCACATGCACAGACCTTCCTAGTGAAGTGCCGAACCACACATACCTGAGCTGTGATGAGGAGCCCAAGAAACAATGCATGGATGAGTAGCGCGACGGGAGAGGTTGGTGTTACAGGAGTGGTACGTACCAGGTATACAAAACTGACTGTGCTGCCTTTAACTTCTCAAAAGGTAAAAAAAGGTGAAGTTGGCACCTTGAATCTACATTATAGTAAAAGTAAGTACAGAGAGATCTGAGTGCATGCTCTGTTTTTACCCTGTGCAAGGCCCTCAAATTCACCACTAAGCATACAAACACACACCAACTGAATCATGAGGCTGAGTCATCAAAACCACAGGATTTCCAAAGAAAAAAGAAAAAGAGCCAACCTCACAAAACCTCTGCAAGTTAAAAAGCAACAACGTAAATACATTTAAACATGTCATACTGTAATTGTAATCAATTTCCAATCTAACTGGGAAACAGGGCTGGACTATCAAAACAAGCTGCTTCCTAAAAACAACATACACTTGAGACGACTAGCATAAACTAGTGGTGTTCAGTGGTTCCCAAGCAAAATGGGGTTTTCAAGCTTTTCTCTAATCTTTGCTTGTTTATGTTTTGTTTTTTTTCTTTTAAACTGCTGAATTCTTATGAACTACTGAATATATTTGATTATTCAAATGTAGGAATCTGTGCTGGTAGATTCGTTCTTATATCAAAAAAGTTCAAGACCTGAGATTTTCATAGCATCATTTTTAGAGAAAAACAAGACAAATGGAACATAGCAGCTGGTTGATATTCTGAATTCATTCTACCTGGAGTCACAAATTAAACTGAAATGCCACAGGCCTGACTGTTTGATGCTGTAACCAGCGTAGTGCAGCACAGCACTGAGGTCTCACCTGAGAGAGTAGGTATAGCCGGTGTTTTCGGGAGCACACTGTGGCGGCGTGTATGTGTGCAGTTGTGAAAAATCCATGGTCATTCTTCTTTGTTTAGGCTGCAAGAATCAGGATGCAAGGGACAGGACTCTTTAAGCCAAATCGGACATGGCTTGGGGGGGATAACAACAAGCAAAAACAAACCAAACGTACACACTCACAAAAACGCATGCATTGCCATGTTCAGCCTGACTCTTGCACACAACTTAGTTTTGCTAATGAGCTCAAGATCTGCTACTGTGTAACCGTCTTTAAAAAAAAAATGGATTCAGAACCGCATCTACACATTAAATACAATACAGCGCTGTTCACTGGGCTGCTCTCCAACAATCACAACCATTGGTTAACGCTACGCTGTGCAAACGTGTCAGAAAGTCCAGCAGGCCCTAATGAGAGCTGCTGGACATTCCTTTTCCTCAGGAACACAACAACAACGCTACTGTGGTTCGGACAGTGGACGAGCATTGGCCAACCTCTTCCTGCATGTTGGCTCTGGCTGGCTGTTGACGAAGCTGTAATGAATGACTCGTCTCTTCTCCTCCGGTCGACAACTGACAGGAATGGCTGGCACAGACGGGACAACAACGATCCTCGCTCCAGTTGTATTAAGTAGACTCCTCACCGGGGCAGCTACTTCTACAGTGACTGCTCGGGTAAGCTCCACACAAGAGAATCAGCGGTATTATGAAACAGCAAGGGGTGGGGCTGGATTTTAGGCAATGGGCGGGAAATAACTGCTCCGAGGGCTTCTCATAGGGAACCTGTCTTTACGGAAACTAGCTGTGCAAATACTGTTCCCATAATACACTCGGCTGCCAGTTCATTGGTGCACATTAGCTGAAACGAATGCAGTCCAATACAAGAGTGCAGGGAAGATTTATTGGACTGTTGTATTAGAGTGAATTAGTTTTAGCAAGGTGTGTCTAATAAACTGGCAACTGTGTGTATGCTGTCAGCCAAAACTGCAGAGCATATCCAGGCAAAACTTAGATGACTTGACAGTTTATACAAAAGGTTTTAACCCTTGCTCTATCCAACAAAAAGATTACGATAACTGTGTGTGACTGTTTGAATCAGCATTTCTGGTCATAACAAGCTCAACCATGCTGTATATCGCTCCACCCATATCCTGAGCAAGAAGGGAACTCCTACTCCAAACATCTGATAATGCAGAAACGAAGCGACAAATAAAACAGATGGCCTTTTCCCTAAAATCCTCAACCCATAATCTTAATCATGTTTCAAATCTGCGTCCAAGTCTCCAAGCCGAAAAGACGGATAAACAGAAACAAATATCCAAAAGCCAAGGGGACTATTTTAATTCAGCTGGGATTAGTTTTATTTTGACTCGACAACTGGCGCAATGAATCATGATGCCAGCGCTTACTGTGGGCAAACCAAAGTTATACACCAGACGGCTCCTACAGTGCAACAACTGCAGAACCGAGGATAAGGGAGAGTATGGTGTTCTTAATAAAAAAGCAATATCTGCGGTTTCTATTCTTATATGACTAAATCTATTCACAAGTGTGACATAATTTAATCCTTGAGCTCATCATTTAGGAGACAGGTTCAACAATAACAAACATGCATTCATCCCACACACACACACACACACACACACACACACACACACACACACACAC